GAAAAATTTGATATTTATAATAAAATAAAATTTTATTTAATTATCCTACTTGTTTCAGAGAATGGTAACCTAAATAAATTTGTTAATTAATAAAGTAACTATGTATATATCTTTTTCATTACAATCTCTCTATTTTTTTGCACTTTTATACACCTAACATCTTATGGGACTTTGTGTCCGCGACACGAGGGCTCAGAGAGCCCTTACCATTTTCGTGTCGCTTCCAACGTTACCGATTCAGTATAGAATAAGATTACAATGCCCATGGTTTTATGCGAAATGGCGTACGAGATGGTCCCTTGTTAGATAACCAGAAACTTGATTCGATTTTTTAATAGTTTAATATACCAATAATTGTGCTGAGTTTAAAAAAAATCTATGATACAGTGGCAGAAAGTGTGCAATTTGACATGGAATATTTCGTATCTAAGATATCCGAAGAAAGAACCGCCAAATGAGTAGTTACGAGTGCTGCCGAACGTTCCCGACCATCGTTCTTAAACGCAGCGGGAATCATGTGCAAAACGAACGTTTATATTGAAAATAATTGTGCTTCTGTAAGTTGAAAGTGAATACAAGTGATATCGAGAAGTCTATGTCGTTGATTTATTCTGTAATTTTGTGTTTTATGTGGATCGGATTGTCGAGTACTTAACAGCAAAGATTGACATATACAAACGTCTGAACGTTTCAAATACTGAAACTTGTACTTCGAAATTTGTACTGCCAAACACTTTGAACAATGTGTTTCATGTGACAATAGAGATATTTTAAAGGCTAAAAGTGATTACTGCGTAGGTTAGATAGTTGCTCTCGAGAGTACTCTCAGAGTTTCTTGTCAGAACAGCAAAGATTGACGTATTACAGAACGTCTAAACGTCTGAAATACTGAACGTCTCTTCGAAATTTGCACTGTCAAACACTTTAAACAACGTTTCGTGTAACAATAGAGACCTTGTAAAGGCTAAAAGTTATTACTGCGTAGTTTAAATAGTTGCTCTCGAGAGTACTCTCAAATTGTGTCCAGGCTTCTGACAGCACTCTCAGTACTGATAAATTTGACTCTTGAGAGCAACTCACGATAGTTTTACTCTCAAATAGACACATACCTTAACATTGGTCAAATTAGCAAATTAAGACGTGGACATTAATTGTGTTGGAGATTATTGAGTTTCTGAGCAACTAAAATGTGTTGAAGGAGCTTTGGGGTATCTGAACGATTAATTTATTTCGAAATTTTCGAATAGTGAGGTTACCCCCACTCCTATATCCAGTTGCCTAGCAACGACATGTTGATTCGTCAGTTACTTCTGGACGTCGTAGAGAGTGAACGTAGTTACGTGCCTGTTAAGAAGGTATTATTATAAATTTAGTTAATCAATCTCTAAGTGTCTCTAATCGTTTCCTTTAGTTAATACTTGTGTAATTCTTCTTAAATTAAGCGTTTGTTTATTTTGTTACAGGTTTTTAGCTGTGCTAAAGCTTCGAAAAGAACGAACGTTCAACCGACGCAGTAACGACGCCACGATACCTCGTATTTGAAATCGACTGAAGTGGCGGGAAATTGGCAAGAGCAATTTGTTCCAGCAATTATGTAAGTAGACACATAATCCTTTAATTTATTTAGATCGCTGCTGAACGGCTGGGACGTGAATAAGTTATATAAAATCGAAGAATATTTCAATCGCTTTGTCGTGTGTAGCTTCGACGTGAAGAACATACGATATCGCGTAACTTGTGTTTATAAAAACTCGTAAATACTGGCGACCCAAGCAGTCGACCGAGCACGGCTGCCTCGAAGCATAGTTTTTCTATGTTAAATTCTCGGAATTGTTATTCGCATTGAATTTCCGAAACACGCACAAACTTGTCTAAACTTGTCTAAGCGTGCTCTGCCCCCACCACTCGGCATGTTATATTTGATATCGCGAAACTTGTGTTTATAAAAACTCGTAAATACTGGCGACCCAAGCAGTCGACCGAGCACGGCTGCCTCGAAGCATTGTTTTTCTATGTTAAATTCTCAGAATTGTTATTCGCGTTGAATTTCCGAAACACGCACAAACTTGTCTAAACTTGTCTAAGCGTGCTCTGCCCCCACCACTCGGCATGTTATGTTCGGTCGTAGAGGACGATGTTACGGGGGGGAATTCATTCGGTTACCGAACTTCGAGTCGACAGGACGTGTTGTTCACATTCGCGTATTCTATCATTTCTGGTACTTATCTTACGTTTACTACACTCTCTTACTACCTTCGTTTAATTAATTAATACACTTTCCTTTGATACTTCGTCGATCTTTTTTGTTTTGTTTTTTCTTCTCGCGTTCAATTAACTTTGGATCATATCATAAACTTCTGTAATAGAGTTCGAATTAACCTAATCATTTAATTATAACGCAATTTCGTTTCTTTTCAATATACATGTTATAAATTAATATTTCTCTTCTGTTAAGATATCTGGTTGATGAAGAGAGAAGAGAGAGGGAGAGACTAACTGATCGGCAAGGGTTTGATGAATACGTAATGGGTAATATTTAATTTATTTTTACAAAGCCGATCGTATGTATACATTTGTTTCTTTTTTATATTATTGTTGATTTTATGTGGGTATATAACAATGTATAGTAATACATGGTACATATTTATTGCACAATTAAAGATGGGTATGACTAAGTATACTTATATAAAAATTATAATTAATCGAGCAATATACCAAGATGCAAGAAGAACAGATTAAGCTTCTTTCTTTCGGGCATAATTTATTTCTATATAGTTGAGAAAAGAATTCGTGGCTTGATCATTTCAAACTTTGCTTTGTAATGTGGAATTTTTAATTACATAAAGTCGTTTGATTTTATTGAAATAATTTGCACCTTTCGCTGCATTTCGGTCGCGATATTTTCTATCTTGTAGAATCGTTAATATTATTCTTCCAGCCTTTTTACTATCTCTATATCGAGTTCAATCACTGATACATACAATTTTCGTCGCAAGTTTAAATATTCTCTAAAATCATTTACGTAGAATCGTAATACTTATGGTTCGGTTTAGCTATGGAATTTTACTTGGTGCAAACATTTTCGAATATTTATAAATCGCGACATATTACGCGACGCGACTCTGTTAACACAGCAACAATTGCTAACTCTAATAACAAACATTTTTATTTTTTTTACTTTTCACAAATTAATTTCATTGTGTCGCACTATTCAGCATACTGCGACGTAAAATTGTAGTTAATGTAAAATGTGTAGTCACGTAAGGTTTCGCATTTCTCCAACAATACAGTATTTTCTTGACGAACACTCGGTACGAAAAAAAAGTAAACACGCCCCCCTCCTCCCTGCTAGCCAGCAGTTTTTATTTCCAGAGATGTTGACCGCGCGCAATGCGGTCGGTAGAGTCAGTGTTTTTGCGTACAAATTGTTTTCTCTTTTTCTCAGAGCAGCACAGCTCTTTAAGTAACCAATATTAACTAATTTCTAAATAAATCACGCGAAGAATAGAGTCAGTGTTTTTTTTTCGCCGGACATAATCTATACGGTCGCGTTATTAGCTTCTTATTTTTTTATTCTTGTTGAAATTCGTTACCGGTATTAGAGTCAGTGCTTCATCTGAAGAAACCATTGGGCGGAGCTCTCGAAGCTGAAAAGTAAGTATCTATCGAACTAAAAGTTTAATAGTTGGAATCTTTTTCATTTGAAGAGTTCTTAAATTCTTCATATGTCTATGTGAATGTCTATTAGAGTGAAAATTATGAGAATTTTAAAGTTCATTTAATAAATAATACTGAAAATTTTGAAATAATCATCTAGTTTGAAAAACAAATGATAATATTCTGTGCTTTTACAAAGTGTTGCAGCCTGCATCTACTGTGGTCCCTATGGTGTCCTTCTGATGACTTCCACGGCAGCTTCCGATGTGCAGTGGAATAATATTCTGTGCTTTTACAAAGTGTTGCAGCCTGCATCTACTGTGGTCCCTATGGTGTCCTTTTGATGACTTCCACGGCAGCTTCCGATGTGCAGTGGCGTCCTAGATGACTTCCTCTGGGGGTAGCAGTTTGCTGTGGCAGCCTAGACGACAGCTTTAACTCAACGAACTGTGAGTCGCATGTGTTTGAAGTTCCTCTGGTCGCTCAATCATGTCGTAGGACGATTGGTCCGAATCGGCACGGGTGACTAGTTGTAATTACGTAGTATCTTTTCACGAGCACAGTGACCGCGGGTGTGAGTACAATAACTCACTCTCGTGAGTAGTAACATTTTGTGTGATTTATTTCTTAGATCAGGTTAGGTTTTCTTGCACCGCGTCATTTTTTTCTATTCTGGTTAATGCTGACAATACGATATTAATTACAGTAAAACTAGTAAATACAATTAGAAATATATCGACTTTGATACTGGTCAAATAAGAATATTTTCAATTTAGATATTTGTGGAATATCCACGTGAATAATTGTTCCACGAGAAATCGTAGAGTTTTCGTATTAAATTTAGTATGGAAGTCGAAT